CATCAAAGTTTGATGACCCCTATCGTCCCCTTTCTACATGCTTGTTATACACATCACTCCGATTGCGCAAGGTCAGACACTTATCTGGTTTTGCTGATGTTGTTGACGGATGAAAGCGTAGCACCTTTTCACCGAAATCGAAGCATGAATCTTTCAGTAAAGCCAATCTACAGCTGGTCAAGAGGAATCCAACGTCGTCTCCTGGTGGAACCGACCTTCGAATCTCTTCACGCAACACTTTCACTCGAAATTAAAGTAAGCTTAACAATTTGTTAAACTAGTCAACCGGCAGAATATTTCGAAATATATATTAGTAAGTTTTGATTTGATATAAATGTACACAAATATTCAATTTCAAGGAGCCATTCAGGCTCTAGCGCTCACCCTGGAGGAGGATTCAGAGATTACGTAGGGAAGTAAGTTTTATATGGCCTCCTTAACCTATCCATGAGTAGTACATATTTCACCTTTGACGATAAGCTTTATGAACAGATGCAAGGACTTGCAATGGGTTCTTGCTTAGTCCCAATTTTGGTGAATAATTACATAGCTAAGTTTGAGGATCGTTTAATGCAAGAGGTAAATCTGAATCCTAAATTGTTTGTTAGATATATGGATGATTATTTTGTGATCCCGCAACATGGTAAAGATAGTTTAGATAGAGTTTGTTTGACTGTGTTTTCACAACTTGGTCATATATGTAGGAAGACTTAGAGGAACGCACCTAGTCCGGAGTCAATTGTATGCATAATACTTTTCAAAGTCGGACCCTGGACGTGGTACATTCCCAAACGTTTCGCCGACATCATAGTCAGCATCATCAGTGAGTCTCGACATTCTTAGCACCATACAACAACTCGTCAAAGAGACAAATATGCCTATCCTTTGACAAAACGTGTGCTAAACAGTTGTGGTATCTCCCCTTCTGCCCTGGTTTATTCACATTTCCTATATCCTCCTATCACATCTTCACTGTCACAATTTTTTACCGTGCCTATGTAGATGTAGTGCGGTGTGCTCCTTTGAGCGGCATTCATTAAAACCCTTCACACTCCACGCTGTCGTAATCACCCCCTTTACCCTTGTGCTGGTAATGTTGACCAGTCTGCCATATTGTTACGTAGTTTTCCTTCTCTGGGTCCTACCAAGTCTCCCTCTTTCCCCGTAGAATCCGTCTGCTATCTTTCTGGCACACGTATTACATTCGACCCCTGCCCCCCTATCTGTGCTACTCAAGGCATAATTCGTCCATCCCCTGCACCTGGGTAATTGATTAGAGGCTAAAGCCTCAGAGTAAGTCTCATGGTCAT